TCACGAAAGATTTTTTTGAGGTCTTTTGGGTTTTGGGTATCAATAATTATACAGTTGTCAAAAATCAATCGATGGTACGTTTGATTAATAATTATCGTTACACAAATATGATGTGATGTAATGTAATTACATCATATGTGATTATATCGAGGGATAATTCGTGATCATCACTGGGTTCCGTGTTCTTGAAGTCTCCCTTATATTTTAGCTTAGAAATAAAGAGAGGTAATCTTAATAAAAATTCAAGTAATTTCAAATAAAACAAAAAATATTTTACCGTTTAAATTGGTTGCTAAATAGTTTAAAGAATACAGTAAAGGTATAATTTTTGATTTTACAGTAAAAATGATTGAGGATTATCGATATTTTAATTACGAGCTAAAAGGTAATGCCTATCATTTTTGAATCGATATCTGAATCTACATTTAATAGGCTATGGTAACAGTACTTCTATAGTTATTAGGCAAAACTTGGATGTTTGCATTGTTCGAAAAGGCAAAATGTGAAATGGCGAACTAAAAAATTGATACAGTAAATGAAAGTGTGGCGATGAAACTCGCAGAAACCACTGAAATGAAAATAACTCCTAATATTATTTACTATCTATGCCATGAGCTATCTGATTCTAGATCTACCTAACTTTCTTTAAAGGTTTTATTATTTTATCTTTATTTTAGTATATAGTACTTTAAAAAACAAGTACTCGAGTATTTATACAAAGTTTTAGACTTTGGAGATTTAGAACATTAAATTTATCAAAGGCAAAGGTAACTATAGATTGTCTGCGTACTCTTTTCGCGAACTGCACTTTTGTATTTGCATACTGTCTTAGAGGACCGGTAACTTAAATATATTAAATGAATTTCAATAAGAATTCTAAAATATGTTTCTGATATCAATTTTCTACTATAACAGCATTAGACTTGATAGTGTGCCGTTAACACTTCCACTTGTACCGATAAAACATAGTTTTCAAAATTTAGAAATGCTGAATTTATCCAGGACGTGACTTTATGACTAAGATGTGACGAAAATTATTAATAGAATCTATTTGCATTGGTTAATTTGGATTGAAATGGATGGCCAAAGGTAAAAAGTAATTACATTGTAATTTTTTATTTAATAATAATAATTCTATTTTAATCTTAACAATCAACTCTATATTTGTAAAATACAAATCTCTTAATTTCTTTAATTTTCGGAACAGAAAGGAAGAATTGGACGATATATTACAAGACTTCCCTGGTAATTTTTATTCTGCTCTATGTGTTACTCTTTTTAAAAAAATACCACTTCAATTTCTTTATAGAATGGACTTGATTCAGGGTTATCAATAGCCAAGATGTTATGACTTTTATTTCCGAGTTATTGAAAGTGGCATATTTTATTTCAGTCTTTTTCTTATTCTTGTTGGTACGAAATTGACTGACATTGACCTAGGGTTGTTAACTTACATGTAACTTACTATATAAATTAAATTGTCAGGTGCGTTTTAACAACCCTACATTGACCTAAAAAGTATTTAATGATGTAAATTTATATGGTTATTATGATATCATCAAATTTACATCCATTAATGATCATTTATACATACGTATCCAGTGATGCCTGACGAAACCATGTGATGCTAATTGTCACACGGTACGTTATATAAAAATCAACAATTTATTATGATTTTTTATAAGTAATAGCACGTGATAATTAGCATCACATGGTTTCGTCAGGCATCACTAACGTATACATATTAATATGTAGATTGGAGAATTTTAATTGAATCATACCTGGATTTACAAATACCGATGTTGTTATTGTTTTCATAATGAATACTAGCACAAATATTTAATACATATGGAAATGCCATCAATATTCATACAAAATTTTTAATTAGTACGTGAACTTACTTACATTAATTTAAATTAGACGCAAGAATGCCAATCTGTAAATCCATGTTTTCCAATAGGATATTAAATTATCTTGAAGTTGGATATACTCAAGTTACTATAAAGGAGTAAGAGAATTAAAGGTAGGTACCTTTTCTACGCATGTATGAGTTTTCATAATTAATTTGACATTTATTCATATATAAATTGATGTTATATTGAAATTGAATTTCACTCAATATCTTTGTCATGTCGCAATACTTAGCTGCAAGAAAGCATCTTATTTCTGAATCACTGATGCAAGAATTTTATAACGCAAAATTATGAACAATATTAAGTTTTTAAATATTCCTCGTTTCGGCCAGTTTGCCTTAATAGAATTACTAAGGAGATGTATGAAGATAAATTTTATTAATTTTAAAAAAAAGTACTCATATGTATCAATACTAAAATTTATTATTTAATAATGTTCACAGCATTAAAATGATATTTAAGACTTTAAGTAGTCTTTTGTAAAGATGAGGGTAGTACACATGTAATATTACATTTACGAAGTATCACTTTTGTAATTATTATTCATTAGGGAAGTGTCATTTATCATCTGATTTTTTTAGTAGGGGAGTGGGTGCCAAAATATCATGCTAATAGATCACATGCGTATATGTTTATATATAATCGAAATCATTTGGGAAATTTTACTATTTACAAAAAATCAGCTGATAAATGACACTTCCCTAATCTTTATGCAGTATATACAGTATATTACCAGGATGGAGTGATATGTAATACCCGAAGTATATTGTTTACTATGGCATTTTTGGTGATGTGCGTACCAGGAACGTAGCATACTTGCATGCGGAGTATATGGTTTCCAGAAGTTATAAATGTGTTGGTATAATATACTGCACCTGTTCGTTATGAGCGTAGATATTGCCACCCGGGTGAAGATGGGATAGGATCAACCTAAATTGTGTGATTGGATGGTGATCCTAATAATTAGCAGATAATACAAAATCATGTCACACTAAGTAGATAAAAAAATTTCTGCGAATTAAAGAGGTATTTTATTTATTATATACTGATTGTTTTATTTAAGAATACATAAATGTTCCATTTATTTAGAGGCTGCAACTAAAGAATAATGAACTTAAAATATATGGATTAACTCACAAATGAAGTTTGGCTCTAAGGAGATAGAAAAAACGGAAGCATGTAAATTGAAATCAATGTACTATTTTGTTGCCGGATATTTGACTTTTAGAAAACAGGTCAAGGATAGACAAATGTGACCTGGTTAGATAGAAAACGATGTGTGAATGGAAAGAATACAATTGAGTGGAGCTTAAAATATTGCACAGTTCTCAAAATTCACTGGATTTTTTTTTTTTTTTAAGTATAGTAAGTTAAGTTTTAGCTTATTATTTTATGATGTTTAATTAATCTTACACATTTATAATTAGAGATTTTATGCAGTTAATGAGTAGTAAATTTAGTGTATATGAGCTAACTCAAGACACTGCAACAAGTCATAGACTTGTTCTGATCGACTAAACTTTTATTATCTGCATTCGCGTTATGAACCTTCAGCAAAATTACAGTAAGGATCGCTTCAATTAATCGTAGCACTTTATGTACTATCTCGGTAGCTAGCTAATCACGTTGAGAGCACTCTAGTTTCTAAGTTTAGCGATTATTTATTAGTCTAATTGGTCTAAGCATTTAATATGAGTTATTTCCAATTAGTCTGTATAATTATCATTTGCTATGATTTAATATCTGTTCCGGTATTATGTATTATTCGGGTTGGTATTAGAAAATTAGAGTGGATTGGCATGATATGTTTTTAAAGGGGGTTTTACACTCTAAACAATAAACATCTTAAAATCTTATGCTCGTTTAAATTATAGCGTCTCATATCAATCAATATATTTATGTTGTCCCAACATTTTCTAAATTAGGCCATTCATCTATTTCTGATTTAGCGCGATAATGTCGCGCAGCCTAAACCGGTGTCATGCTTAAAATTTTCTTTTTTAGTTGGTATTATATTTTATCGCTATTTTATGTATTTCTTATTTTGGTATAGTTTGCGGCATAGTTGGGTGATTGGATTAAAAGATATATATATAAAGGTTGATGAAGGGAGGAACGATTGTTAACGAATTGTTGATAGTATTTAGTAATTTATGTTAATAAAGAATAATCCGTAATCATGTGTGTCGATTTAAATCATTTTACTATTTGTTTACAATCGAAGCTAAACAACCGGAAGCTCTCCCACCGATCGTAACATCGGCAATCTATCATATCGATATGATCGGTCAAAAATTATGACCGATTATACAATATGATCGATCAAAGCAATGTGATCGGTTATTTGACCGATTCCAATCTCTAAGCATATTAATGGAAGAGTATAATATGTATTGTATATGCATTTTTCTCACTAGTCTTTTAAATTTAGAGTAAGCAGTTTTTTTATAATTTAAAATGGATATTTACAAGTAAAATAAAAATAAACATCGGGAGTGCTGTTCTGCGCAGATTTGCAAAAAAAAATTACCACAGCTACAGAAATTAAATACAGTTCTGCGCAAAATTTCAAAATATAAAAAATTTTGCAAAAAATTTCTGCAGATTTGCACTTATTTAATTCTCCCGATGAAATAAAAAAAAAAAATAATAAATAAAAAAATAAAAAATAATAAAATAAAATAAAAAAAAATAAACAAAAAAAAAAAATAAAATAAAATAAAATAAAAAATAAAAAATATAATAAAAAAATAATAAAAAAATAACATGTCACGATGCTAATATATATATAACCAAATAAATGTGCCGTCTGAATTTCTCGAAACAATTATGGTTATAGACACTTAAACAGACATATTCATTTTTATTTTCCCGTATGGTTGATATCCAATTATCTCAAAATCTTCTAACCTGAAGTCATTAATATCTGTTATTTTACGTTTAATTTCTAACTGAGGAAACGCTCTTGGTTCTCGTTCAAGTTGCACCTTTAACGCGTCTATGTGATCAATATAGATATGTGCATCACCCATAGTGTGAATAAATTCACCCGGTAAAAGGCCTGTAACATGAGCTATCATTCTTGTCAAAAGTGCATAACTTGCAATATTGAAAGGAACTCCGAGACCCATGTCACAAGAACGTTGATAGAGAATACTTGAAAGGCTTCGCGTATGCGTTTTAGGATCCGGGTTTGACACATAAAACTGACAAAACATGGGACATGGAGGCAATGCCATTTCCTTTAAGTCTAAAAAGAAAAGTGTTGTCAAAAAGAAACCAATTTTTCATGCTAACCCCGACATAACGCCAGTGATCATGTGATGATTTGAAACCAATCTGATCAAAAGAATCAACAAATTTTTTTTAACATACCAGCAGGATTCCAAGCGTTTAAAATAATACGCCTATCATTTGGTTGGTTCTTAATTTTATTAATGACTTCTTGAAGCTGATCAACACCTTGACCA